ATCAGGGGTAGGTGACAGCCTACTTGAGAGGACAGCGGTCACTCCCTGAGCCCGGGATGCTGTCCAGCTGATCCCACTGTGACGAGGAGAAGGGGATGGAGGGGTTGAGGCTGGTGCCCCAGGGTGTCCCTCACGGCTGGTCTGCAGCTTATCAGGATGACATGAGAGCCTGGACGTGGGGACTCCTGAAGCCCCTTCTGCCTCCATGGTCTACAGTGTTCTTGGCCGGTTTCAGCAAATGTATGAGGAAGGTGAATACACAAGAAGTGCTGTCTAGCAAAACCTTATTCAGACCACATTTATAGGGGGCGAGGGTGAGAAAGACAGAGGCATACTAAATGAATCCCTAAAGTGACCACTCTCACTGAATGGGAAAAACGTTTCATCTTTGGACTGGCAGAGGAGCAGCTAGAGTCAGTTCCACCTTGTGCTGTTTCTGGGATTGACTCGATGGCTAACTGCCCAGCAAATGGCCATGGCAGGGTCACTGCAGAAGATTAGCTGCCGTGTCCTGGCACATGCAACCCTGAGTGGGGCTCAGGGGTCTTAGCAAGTGACAGCTGGGGGCAGCTTCCTGCTCCAGGCGGACCAATGTGTAATGTAGCACACTTGCAGTCTCAGTAGGGCCAGAATGACCCGGGGACCCCCAGGCTGGGTCTTCTGATAGCTTCTGGGAACTTGAAATGGTGATTTTTTGATAGAAAAGAACGACACCTCTTTTTATTAGGTAGGTGAGCATCATAAGCCTTTCCGAGAGGGCAACCATGCTGTTCCGGGCGAGCAGATGAAAGTTCGCCATTTTGCCTGGTAGCTGCAGTGGCAGTGGCAGAAGCATCCTCAGACAGACTCAGACTAATCTGCTTTAAGCTCCAAATATGACCTACATGAGACGCGGTGGAGTCTGACGGGGCCTGGCGAGGAATTCCCTTCCACTTGCTCTAAATCCCAGAGCCTCTCCCCTCCGGCCTGTCATGAAGGAGGAAGCGCTCCTGGCCAGACCTTGGAGAAATCAGATGTGTCCATGCAGGGCTAACAGGAGAGACAGAGATCCGTGCTCCCTCTGCTGGCTCCAGACGGCAGCATTAAAGCAGAAAGCTTCTCCAAACTCGGGTCCATTCATGTTTCTGGACAAGGACCCCTCGTTTAACCTGGTTGGAGGCGTTCTTTCAGAAAAAAACCCACCTTTGTCAACTTCTGAACAAGGCACTTGGAAATGCTTCCCATCAGATATCAAAGTACACATACCAACAGTCCTCCACTCCCAGATGGCTAGCTGTGACTGCAACCGTGATTTTGGGATTCATTTATCAACAGACACAAGTGGATTCCTCCAAGATTTTAAGGTCCAGACATGACCTTTAAAGCAGTTCTGGAAAAAAAAACAATCTGAAGTCCAAGCTAAATTTTTATTTTTTTCTTTCTCTCTCCCTTAGGTAATAAGAACAGCTTCCAAAAAGTAAAGATTTGTACTATTTATAGCCTTTCCGATAATGTCAAGCATTAGACTTGATTTTCCAAATCATTAGCATGCAGAAGAATGACCTCATGGCGAACAGATGCACTTGGCTGTGAGCTGCAGTGATTACATCAGTCCCTCCCCTTCCAGTTAACCCTTTAAAGGCATCTCTGCTGCACACACCCCCTTCCCTGGAGACAGTCTTGAACACACAAAATTAGTCCCTCACTCCAGTATGTGCATGCACACACATGTGTGTGTGAAATGCGCATATAAATACATGCATAAAACATATATATGAACATGTGCATGTGTGTTCACTGCAGCCAGTATTTAATCCCTGGCCACCCTATAGAAGTTGCTGGTCAATAAAGAAGGAATCTAAAGGGAGGCAGACTACAGAGTGAGTGGAAGGCCAGCTCAGATACCTTTCATGATCTGGGCATTAGCAACATGAGTAATGTGTGGAATAGATATGGGAGGGGGTGACTTAAAATAACATTTTTTTTCTGACTCAGAAAATAGTTATTTTAAACCTCTTTTAATAAACTGAGGACTCACTTATGAGCCTAACAACAGAAGACTATGTCTTTACCTGTGGTCCTGGAAAGTGAGTCCAAATGCCCCCTTGTGCTGCCCTGGGTGGCAAGTGCTGGGACAGGGAGCCTGGGGGCCTCCGGGGAGAGCATTTCCCAGGGCAGTCCCCTTGGCCATAGGCCCCCACCACTGGCCACGTCTCTTACTTACACCTAGGACCTAGGACTTAACGGCTCACCTTGGAGGCCTTCCCTCTAGAGATGGGGCTGCCTGCTGCATAATACAGTGTGGGGCGAATGTGGGGTTCAGGCCACTGTCCCTGTGCTTGACCACAAGGCCCTGTGGCAAGAACACAAAGGAGACTGGAACCCCAGGTTCCTTGGACTGCCCGCAAGCCTGTGGGCGGGGGCCCGAGGCCCTGCTCTGACGACACCGCTGTGGAGACGGTCTGAGCGAATCCTAAGAGCGCCGTGGGAGCTTAAGCCGCTCAGGGTCAATTTTTCCGGCTGGCTTGTCCCTGCGAAAAGCAGCCCTCACCTCGATTTCTCAGTTTAAGCTGCCTGGCTCTTCTGGGTTTGACTCTACTTGTCCCAGAATATTAATAAAAAACAAACAAAAAACACACTGTGGATAGATGGGAAATGTTTTCATCCGTCCAAGTGGTTAACAGACGGGAACAGGGATTCCTCAGAAGCAAAACTGGTCTATGAATGAGAGGAGGATGTGGTTCTGAAGGAGGGCCTGTGTGTGGGATGGAACTGTACCCCCAGATTCCAGGGCAAACCAAGTTGATTTCGAGCTTCTTCCTCATGGTTGTAGGAATATGCAGATATGCAAAACGTTGAAAGAGAACATTATGCCTGGACTTAAAATTGCATCCATGGATTGGTGTGATAGGTGTAGAAAAATGTTCTCAGTCCACATGGAACACCCTGAAGCCTACTGGTTATGACATGTGATGCTGACGTCAATAAACTGAAAAGAGGAAGGACCGGCATTTGGCTCGGCATCTCATCTTTGGTTTCACCATCTTTTTGTGCACTTTCCAATACCTGCTCTTATCAAGCTGTCAGAACCTTTATCAATTCAGTGACTTTGGCCAATGCAACATTCTTAAAGCAGCCAGTCTCTAAACGGTGGGTCTTAAAAAATCTACAGCACTCATGGTGGCTCACTTAAGAAGTTACCTATACATGAACTGGTGTAAATAATTAGGAACTTTTGGGAAAGATCAAATTAATTTATATAGAGGCTAAAATATACATAGAAAATAAAGTTTATCAATACTTGTTTCAGTAACATCTTAAGAGCCTTTAGAACATAGCAGTTAAGAAATGGAAGCATATAGCTATGATTTAATTACTTTTAATTTTAGAAAACAAAAAGCTTTATCAAGATTAAAAAAAAAAAACCTGCACTAAAAAATTCAGTCCCAGGACTTTATGAGGGTGGGAAAAAGCTGAATGAGATCTTTACAAAACTAGCTTTGCCATGAATTCTTCGTGTTCCCTCACCTAAAAATTAGAAGTGATTTTCAATCTCTAGCCAGACTGGGTTTGAAATCTTCATTTCCCTTGAAACTGATTTTTTTTTTTTGCGGGGGGGGGTGGGGTAGGGCTGGGGGAGCAGAGGCTTTAGAGCGAATGTTGGCAGAGTGTATAAAAGAATTCAATTCACAGCTGTTCTACTTTTTTAATGTAAGAAACATTAATCAAAGCTTTAAGTTATAAGCTTTTCTCATGTTGCTTAGTATTCCAGTTCAACAAAGATCAATAGAGGCCATCCCTGTATTTCTGGACGCCTCGCAGGGAAGCAGAGGCGCGATTATGTAAATTTCGCAGCTCCCCGCACCTCGGCGGCCTGCTTATCTCCCAGGCCTTCTGCCTGCTGCTCCTGGCTCCCAGTGCGGGGCCAGCCTCTCCCTCTTATCTCCTGACAAAGCTCGGGGAGGCCAGGCCGGCAGCCAGCGATGTTCAACAGTGATGCATGGCTGGTTTTATTTGTAAGTGATTTATTTCACCGAATTTAATTTTTTTCACTTTGTGTGTAAGATATTTGTTAACAAGTCAGGATGGGAAAAGCCAGGCGGTGATCAGAGGCAACTGACAGAGGGTAGAAATCTATTAGGCCCCCCTAACAGTTGTGCCCACCCCAGCGGAGGAAGAGGACGCCCCTCATGGAGGATTTCAACGTGCATCGACTCAATGTCCCACTTGCTTTCTGAAAGGCAATTAATCTGTAATTACGTACAGAAATTTACCAAGTCATTCTATTCTTTGGGGAAAAAAAAAACCCCACAGTAACCATATCATCATGGTAAGTGCCAGCACACATTTTTTTTTTTCTAAATTGGAAATATAAAAAGAGTAAAACCTAAAAACAATGTTTTTTGAGATTTTCCACTGGCCTCATAAGTGGAAGTGCTTAGGAGCCAGTGTCTGAGCAGGTCCACACCAGGGCTGCTCTTGGCGGCTGGGCCCTGGGACAAGGACCACTCCAGAGAGAAAGCCAGCCCGCCGCACTGCTGTCAGCATGGGCCAGGGGACACGGTCCTCCCGTTGCTCCCGCATTAATCCCTGACCCGAGCATCCCGGCAGCATAATCCCCATTTAGCATTAGTAGCAACGGCTTCGACTGGGAGGAACTCTTTCTCGATAAGTAGGCCCTGATGCAGGCACCACTCTTAAAACAACATATTCCCAGCTCAGCAAGAAACCCACCCTACCGAATGAACCGGAGCACGGGGCTGAGAACAAGTTCATTAACCTCGCTGGAGGCGGAGGTTAACGGGATGGTGGGAGGAAAGGACCTGGCGAACAGCTCGGATACAAAACAAATTAAAATGAATGTCATCGCTCCTTTTGATATTCATTAGTGCATTCAGGGGGGAGAACGCGCTTCTTAAATTTGTGGGCATTTATCTGTGAAAAACAGGTGTACATCTGTGGCTAGAGCATTTGAAGGGTCTTGGGCAGAGCTGGGTGGGGGGGGAAACGTGGCCACTCACCAGTTCCGCTGATCGAGTAGCTGGGAGATGGACAGAAGACCTGGGCTGTGAAATCCTCAAATGTCATGACTTCACGGTGGTTCTGAATTATTGCTTCAAGATAGAGAGCTCTCTCCTCGTAGCTGCGGGCGTCAGTTAAGGAAACAAGTGTCCATGCAGAACGAAATGCAGGGCAGCGACAGAGCAGCAACTTTGTTTTAAACACAATCACACACCTTTTACACTCAGATGGGGAATGGGTACCTTGCAGGTGCATAAGCATCCTATTGGAGAATTAAAATAGGAGTCATAATTCATGAGAACATTCCGATTTCGGAGGCCTGTGCTTCTCTTAGACTTCAACTGCACCCAAACCAGTATCGCTGAAAAAAATATGTAAACTGATAGTCACAGAATCAGAGCAAAAGGCCATACCCATTTCCTTCTCCAATCAACTTGATAGGAACAAACAAAAAGACAGATGTGGATGACAGCCACATCCCTTTCCATCCACAACCACGGGACAACACTGGATCACCCCTTCTGAGTTCCCCAGAGGAGATGTTTTTCTCAGCCTACTGATAACATGAATTGACACTCCGATGCTCCAAGCGAGAACCGGTGATACACACTTTAAAAAATAAGACCACTGGGAAGGGGGAAGGCTAGGAAGGTTGGCTGTGAAGGGCCCCAGAGTCTCAGGCTGAGATAGGCCATGAGCATTAGAAAGTTATTAATTATTAGAAGGAACTAATATTAGTTATTAGTTCTAAATAACTAAATAATATTAGTTATTAGAAAGAACTAATAACTGGGAGAATCTACCAGGGAGCACACAACACAATATTAAAAAAAAAGACTATTGGCTTTTAATTAAAACTGCAGCCCTGGAACACACGCATTCAAATGTGTAATCAAAAACCAGGCACCAATAAAACTTACAAGCGTAACACGCTGAAGCAACTTTCCAGCTGTCTCAATAGGACCCCCGCGTGCGGCAGCCTTTCATGGGGCAGAAAGCAAATCTTCCCCTTTTGTGTGTGGCTTCTGTTTCCTCGGAAGGTGAATCACGCCTTCCAATAACAGGATAACGTCAGGACAATTCGGCAGCGAATGGAGGCGACGCACGGAGGACTCTATGAGTTAGCACTCGGGGGACTCAGCGTGCTGGCTCTTCCCCCTGCTTCCCCGCGATCGACGCAGAAGTTAAGGGACGTGGTTCAGTCATTTTGAAAACCGTGCTAACTCTGTAGGAACACAGGGAATGTGGGTTACCACCCGTTTATTATCTGTAGCTCCAGAAAGGCCAGAGTAATTCTAGCATTTCTCACTGAATTTTAAAACTATCTTTTCAAAATGGCCTCTTTTAAATAATGCAAGTTGGGGGGAAATTCTGCCCTTCCAAATAGCTGTTCAATAGGCATGCATTTTGAAGGAGGTGAGTATTTTTCTACTCTCTTCTGGCAAAGGATGCTCACGAGTTTTCCCACAAGGGGTCTTGCTCCTCCTCCTTTAATTACATTCGGGGAAAGGTTTTCAGCCCACAAGGAGCCCAGAGGCTTTCTGGGGCTGGCTGTGCAACACAGAACCATGGGCTCTCAGTGCCTAGGCGCACTGAAATTTAAATGAATAAAAAATGAATAAGGAAAAGGGTTCTTGTGTCCCGCACGCCGTATTTCACAAACACAGAGCCTGGACTGTGCAGACACAGGGGACATGACCATCACCGGGGAAAGCTCTCCTGGGCCGGCCCATTCCAGAATCACCCTTCAGGCTGGCTCTGGGCAACTTTTCAAAAGGAACAGGAGTTTCAAGGCAATGATGGATGACGGTTTGCAGGGACGGTGGTCGCAGCAGCCTGAGGCCTGGGCCATGTGAGTCTGCGCTCCGGCTGAACTCCGGGTGACTTGCCTTCCTGGACAGGCTGCCAAGCGTCGCGGCGCGGCCCCCGTGGCCTGGGGGATCCACTAATGCCGTTCACGTCTCATTACGAACATGCGTCTTCCGCACAGCGCTTGGCTGTTACTGAGCGTGGCCCTCTGAGCCGCTGGGCCGCGAACAGCAGGATGCTGGGCCTGGGCGGCCGGCTGGCGGACAGGAGCTGTGACACTGAGCTGGCACGTGCAGGCCCAGCAGGGGCCGAGCGAGGCGTGACAAATGACTCAAAGGGCTGAGCTCCACTTGCGGCTGACGACCACCTGAGCCTGGGGCCCCGTCGGCGCCCCTTCCCTGCTCGCGGCCTCTGCAGTCCCGTCCTGCTGGGTCCTGAGGCCTGGGCTGCGTCTGGACCCCCCTGCACATGGGCCTTGGACGTGAGCACAAGCTGGGCTAGAGACACGGTGGAGGCCACACGCCTAGAGGGGCGGCCCCAACACTGACCGAGCTCACTGGTCCCCGCGGAGGGCTGCCGCATATGCCACCCCCATGCTTCCCCGCCGGGTGGCCCGCAGCCTTGTCCTGACTCAGTGACATGCTCCTGCTGTCATGAGCTTGTCTCTGTCAAGGCTGAGTGATATGGGCTCCTAAGAGCACCTCCATCTAGCACTGGACTCCCAGAGGGAAATAATCCAGCTTTGAGGTTCTTGGGTACAGTAAATACAATGGAGTAATGTAAATATAAATAGAACACAGTCACTCAGTCGTATTTGACTCTTTGTGACTCCATGGACTGTGGCCCACCAGGCTCCTCTGTCCATGGGATTCTCCAGGCAAGAATACCAGAGTGGGTAACCGCTCCCTTCTCCAGGGGATCTTCCTGACCCAGGGATAGAACCTGGGTCTCCTGCACTGCAGGCAGATTCTTCACCACCTGAGCCACGGGATGCCAAAGGCTTCAACAGAGGCACCAGAGTAGATGGGGCGCAAAGGTGCATCCAGAACGGGGCCCTGGAGCAGGAAGGTTTGCTTCCTAGAAGGTTCTCTGCTATCATGAGAGCAAGCACTCCCCACCCAGGCTGGGCTACACTGCGCTGAATTGGGTGCCATCACTCAGACAAACACCTACCAGGGATGGGGTGAGACCAGAAGATCATCAAGTACCTTTTCACTTGCAGCCCAAGCCAGGACATGTACACACCATGACAAAGAGAAGACAGACACCATCCCAACCCTGGCACCGTTTAGAAACAGCAGAATACCAGACCACCTGACCTGCCTCTTCAGAAACCTGTATGCAGGTCAGGAAGTAACAGTTAGAACTGGACATGGAACAACAGACTGATTCCAAATAGGAAGAGGAGTATGTCAAGGCTGTATATTGTCACCCTGCTTATTTAACTTATATGCAGAGTACATCATGAGAAATGCTGGGCTGGAAGAAGCACAAGCTGGAATCAAGATTATTGGGAGAAATATCAATAACCTCAGATATGCAGATGACACCACCCTTATGGCAGAAAGCGAAGAAGAACTAAAGAGCCTCTTGATGAAAGAGAAAGAGGAGAGTGAAAAAATTGACTTAAAGATCAACATTCAGAAAACTAAGATCATGGCACCCGGTCCCATCACTTCATGGCAAATAGATGGGGAAATGGTGGAAACAGTGGCTGACTTATTTTTTTGGGCTCCAAAATCACTGCAGATGGTGATTGCAGCCATGAAATTAAAAGACACTTACTCCATGGAAGGAAAGTTATGACCAACTTAGATAGTGTATTAAAAAGCAGAGACATTACTTTGTCAACAAAGGTCCGTCTAGTCAAGGCTATGATTTTTCCAGTGGTAATATATGGGTGTGAGAGTTGGACTGTAAAGAAAGCTGGGTGCCGAAGAATTGATGCTTTTGAACATCAATGTTGGAGAAGACTCTTGAGAGTCTTGAGAGAAGTCTCAAGAGAAGACTCTTGAGAGTCCCTTGGACTGCAAGGAGATCCAATCAGTCCATCCTAAAGGAGATCAGTCCTGGGTGTTCATTGGAAGGACTGATAATGAAGCTGAAACTCCAATACTTTGGCCACCTGATGTGAAGAGCTGACTCATTTGAAAAGACCCTGATGCTGGGAAAGATTGAGGGCAGGAACAGAAGGGGACGACAGAGGATGAGTTGGTTGGATGGCACCACTGACTCAATGGACATGAGTTTGGGTAAACTACAGGAGTTAGTGATGGATAAGGAGGGCTGGTATGCTGCGGTTCATGGGGTCGTAAAGAGTCGGACACGACTGAGCAACTGAACTGAACTGAAGGACCTCACAAGTGCCAAGAATCTTCTTCTTCTTCTTTTTTTAAGTAGCTTTAGAAAATAGTTGTGGAATCTGTGCTGAATTTGTTAAGAAGTACTAGCCAGGGCCACTAACTAAGAGCAGTGTTTTGGGACATTTTCATACCTAACATCCTTAGGACTTCAATGCTGGCTGCTTGCTATTCAAAAAGGCATTTATAATTTAGACACCAAAGACTTTATAAGGTGTAAGCCATGTTAAGATATGAACTGAAGGCTGAAGTAATTCCAGGCAGTGGGTGATCAGTAACCTTTGACCAGAGGAAGCAGGTGGCTATGGAGACACCTGGTCACACAGCTAATGCCTATTTCAATGCAAGCTGTTGCCCTCTGGCTCTCAGTAAGTCCACTGCCGTGAAATTGACATTGTGTCCTGAAGTACTATCTCATTAAATACCACACATGGCAAAGCAGTTTTTAAGAGAAAATTTCCCCTTGAGTACCCAATTCAAAGAACATGCAAATTACTAACTAGAAACTCATCTTGGTTTCTGCCTAGTTTTGAGTCTTTTACCTACTACTCTACTCAGTATTCCTTCACTTGCATAAAGAAGTAATCAGAGTAAACTTGGGTGTTTACTGGTTACATATGTCTTCACTGGTTACATTTTCTCAAAAAACTCCAAGAGGGACTTCCCTGGGGGTCCAGTGGTTAACACTTCCCCTTAGAATGCAGGGAGACATGAGTTTGATCCCTGGTCTGGAAACTAGGGTCCCACATGCCTCGGGGCCAAAAAACTAAAACACAGAACAGAAGCAGTTCTGTAACAAATTAAATCAAGACTTTAAAAATGGTTCATAACAACAACAATAACAAACAAAACCTCGAAGAGAACTTTATGAAACCCTCAAGATAAACTCTGTTGGGTTGCAAGAACTTCAGGATTCAAACCCGAACCCCCAGGTTTACTCTGATTACTGTTT